TTACCCTTACCTGCTACGTAAGGCGTTGTACCAACAGCTGCTGAAGAAGAAGGCTGCCGCCAAGAAGGCCTTCACGAAAGAATAGGCATCGATATATCGCCAATACGAAGAAGTGCTGTATTAAACGATGTTAAATACTCGACTTATTTGTACTAGTTGTTTTGTGTTACTTTATTCACATCATTCACTGCCGAAATTGCCAGTTAGCCATGAAAACACCACGAATAAAGCACCATTACTAATCATTGCTTAATCAGCTTGTTTAAGACTTTCAAAGGAATTCTTCGATTTTTTTCTGATGTTTTTGGAAAGGGAGTGCCGTTAAGACAAGTCCACCAGCATAAGCCCAAAATGTCAAAATATTTTCTGACAAAATAGTCCCCACTCGGACTTTCTACGAGCGTAACCGATTCGCTGGATTGTTAAGAGATTCGGTTGCGAATGCTCCCCCTGCTCCTGGCGCTGACATCAGCGGGAGCAATATTTTGAAATGCATGGGTCTCGAATTGAAAGTGAGCCATTTTAGATTTTATGACACTATGACTTTCTCACTGAATTCGTTATGAATTCGCAAGCAGGGATGATCACGGGTAACTAAAAGCAAGCCAGGTCCTCTTGCTTTGGGAAATTCCGGAAGATACGACCCTCCCCCTAGAAGCTCTCTTCTGACCTCCCGTTCCCCATCCTACCTACCACTCTTCTAGATTTCCCCGATACCCTACAACCCACTTTCCAGTTTCTCTGGAATTCCCAAAATCTTCAGTATTTCCCCAAGATTTCGGTGTCGAGCATGGGGCGGGGGTAGATTGTCAGCAACCGGCTACTATCTACTATCAGTAATTGTGTAGAACTTTAAGCGCCACCTACTGGGGGGTATTCCCCAGCGTTCGACATTGTCTTTTGAAAGGCTCACTGCACGACTACCTGCGATTCTGATCCTTTTGGTGTGCGACTCGTGCCCGTAGCCGCAGAGATATCGCAATCCCATCATTTGAAAATCGCCTTGAAGACAGCTGAGGGTGGCATCGTGGCGGGTCACCCAGGCATAACTATACTCGACCCCCGTTCCCGCGCACGTCTGGAGAAAGTGGCAAAATACTGTGGATAGGGTGTGGATCTCACACGGGGCAACGACCATGATCCGCGAATTAGAGTGTACAGTTTGTCTGGAGGCTCGAGTTAGCTCGATGTTCTTCCTGCTTTCCCGTACGAAGGCGGCAGCCATACCGCACACCACGGTCGCTGTGCTTTCTACAGCTTCTCGCTATCATGCCAGCAGGTATATTCGAAATCCCTGAGATAGGGTAGGCGTGGCTGTATGCTTCAACACCTGAA